ACCCGCAGCTAAATACAAGTAATCTATTGATTTAACTTCTTTTCCACAGTGTCATTTCCAGGAAGTCCTGAAAAATAAAAAGCTGTTTTCTATTGAAAATACAGCAAATAAAAAGACAGTGGTCTAAATTAAGCTGTTAAATGCTAAACAAGCGCTGTGCCAGGACACTGAGAGCAAAGGCAGATAACACCACGCAGAGAAACACCCTGGATTTTAAAAGGCAGCTATAGAAATGTCAATTTTTAGCAATTTGTAACAAGTCCTTACGCCTCCTGAACTAAAGCACCTTGCTTTCTTAAAATGTCACGAACAGTGAAACGAGAACAGCTGAGCTGAGGGAGCAGAAGGAGAAATTTCTCTTATGCGTTACTTCTGGAGTGGAAAACCAGATGCATCGTTAATTAAGGCTGGGCAGATTGAGGTGAGTGGTGCTTTGGTCATTTGGAAGAGCTTTAACGGCCCATTTCATTTACCCACACCTGGTAACACCATGACACAGTTTTTATAGCTGGGAAAAACCCCACCCCACTGGTTTCCAGAAACCGCTGACTCTGAAGGGTCACCCTGAGGGCTTCAAGGTCTGAACATTAATCTGGTTTAGGCACAGAGCAACAGGCCCCCAGACCGACCGGTCATCTCAGAGCGAACGAGAACTGTGTCCTTTGAATTCCCCTGTTAACAGCTGCCCTGCATCACCATGAAAGCAAAATGCTGGCAGCTCACGTGAACCCTGGGATGCACATCCGAGTCTGCTACCTCTTTTATGAACAACTACGAGGGCTTTTTTTGTTTCCCTGCAAACAAAGATCAGGATTTCGCAATCACAGCAACTGTCATGCAGCACCATCAATTTTTTTTTTTTTTTTTTATAGATAGAAACAGAAACATCTGATGTAAGAAGAACCCCAAAGACCCCTTTTTCCTTCATCCTCCAGTCTACCGCATGCAACCACAGTGCCAGACGCTTACCTGGGACAGGACTCTTGCTCGAGTTCTGAGTGTCTGTGCTCTCCTCCAGCTGCCCATCTGCTTCTGTCTCTTCCTTCTTTTCAGTATCTTTTACCTCTTCATTAAGAGTAGTTCTTGTGCTCTCCTCTCCTTCTAAATCTCCCTGAACAACAGGGAGGGCAGTAGGAGATGGAAGAGGAGGTGGAGAAGGAGTTGTAGTGGTAACAGCAGCAGCAGCAGCAGCAACAGAAACAGGAGGAGGAGGAGGCGGTGGAGGGGTGGGAGGTGGGGTAGGAGGAGGAGAGGGAGCAACGTGAAGAGCACTGGAAGATGGCATGCTTTCCACTTCTGCTGGAGGTGCTTCTGGCGTCTCCAACTCAACAGTCAATGGCGCAACTTCTGTCTGGGCTACATCTACTATGCTCTCTGCAGCAGTTACTTTTTCACTAACTCCGTTCATTTCATTAATTAGATTAGTACTAGCAGTCACTGGAATATCACTAGATGCTACACTACTAGGCTCCTTGCACACCTCGGCATCAGCCTCTTCTGCTGGCGAAGGGTCTGACGTGTCTGTGCAGGGTGCGGCATTAGGTATAGGCATTGCCTCCTCTTTTGGGGAAGCGAGTTCACATTTCTCCTCTGAGTCAGCTGTGAATGTGGATTTACTAGAAACGGTGACAACAGCAGCAGCAGCAGCAACTGCGATGGGAGCAGCCGGGGTTGGTGATGGAGCAAGAGGAAGTTCTGGTGGGGTTTCCACTGAGGTGGCCTCGGTCGTCTGGCCAGCTTGATCTTTTTTCTCCCCAGTAGGTTCTGGTCTGAGGACTGGAGAAGAAGGTTTTAATACTGGATCTGGTTTTGGCTTCTCTTCTGGGAAAGGCAAAAAAGAAAAAAAGGCCATGTTACAAAGAGCAAGTCAACTCCATTTTCCTTCGCTCTATCTAAGACTCCTTCCCTTGGTTCCCCTTGCCTGCATTCTACCTGCTGTTCAAGAAGCTCTGAGGAAGACACCGGAGGCATCTGAAGCTAACCTTGGCATCTAAAGGAAAAGTCCTCCAGATAACCCGCAGCTGGCAAATCTGGAAATGCAACCGCTGCTTCTGTTTTTCTGACCGTAGACTTTGCTCTAAGCAGCACCCTTCACAGCAAAGGCACCCCAATATGTTATAAAATGTGGATTTCTTGCAGAAACTGCTGCTGCAAGCAGAATTTTTCTTGACAGAAATTACAGAAGACAAAAATATGCTCTAGCTGGATTCTCTCTCAAAGGAGGCCGGGGTTGTAAGAGGCACCAGAGACCTGCAGCCAGTCTCTGCCACTGTTCCCCCTCTTTGTAAAACGGGGAAGCTACTCCACGACTGACGACGGGCCGTTCTTTTACATACGCCACATGGCAAGCCATTGCTAATATGCAAGATGCACCTAGTTTATTTTTCCACTTGTTATTTCTCAACTCCAGCACATCAGACTAAAGGACACAATCCCCCTTTTTTTTGTTCTAAATTTCACTAAAGACAACTTTTCCCAAAGAAAGGAAACCCCAAACAGATTTAAGTGCAGCTGCCACCGAAGAACAGCATCACGACCTCTTGTTCTTTGCAGGCTAAGGGTATTGAGCAGGATGGGAAAAGCACGGTGAAATAGGCACATGGATCAAACCAAATCCCAAACTACCATGCGCAGAGAAGTCCCCATACTTATCTTGTGATCAGCAACAGACTTTGCAATACCATCCCTGCCATGGCCACCATGTGGCTCCCAAAGATCTGCTGCCACTCCATTTAACGCACTTATTCCCACTTCTTTTGAACAAAATATGAGCCAAGATCCTAAAAGACCCTCTCCCACCTCTGATTTGACGAAAATCTTGCTTAGGATCCTCTGTGCTACAACTCTGCAAGACAGATGAGACAGGTATCACCCAAAGCCAATCATACGGAAAGCTGGGACTCAGTGGTCCAGTTCCAATCACCCTTATGAGGAGGTCATCTTTATCTGTCCTCGGGGAGGGAGCTCTGCTCCGCTCCACTCCATGAATGCAAAATGCCCCGAGGCTTTCTGAGCACTGAAGCAACGGGGAACTCCTTTGGGACGCCACCACAACAGCAAAAAGGAATTCTAAAAATGCCAGAGGCACAAACCCCGCTGTTCAGATTAGGAAATCGAAGGCTGCAAACAACCCAAAACCATCAAAATTTGGGTAGAACTGAAGAGGCATGGTTTGCTTTGGGCTTTCCCACCTCTGCTGGCTTTCCATTTGGGGCTTATTCAACAGATAGGCTGAAGGGAAAGGGTTTTTGAAGGAGAACCCATCCGAAACCACTTGGAGCATCAAGTCCCATCTTTAGGAATAGCTGGAGCAATGAAGAACTTTGCTTCCAGCTGTCGACAGCCCCAGCAGCATTACAATGAGGACCACAGCCAAAGCAGTAGTTTATCAATTTAATGAGGCACGTAGGGAGACAGCTTCGGATGAGGATGACAAATGAGGAAAAAAGATGGGAGAAAGTGTCCCAACAGCTGATTTTGATTCTGAAGGCTCCATGGAAGGACCCGGGAACTGGTTTAGAAAAGAAAATGCGTCACCTCCGATTTCTGGAACATCCTTTGCAGACAACTCATGGAACATTCTTGACATTTACAGCTCGCTATAAACAACTTCCTGGATATTCTCTCCCTTGAGTCAAATGAGATTGCTCAAAAAAAAAAAAAAAAAAGCATTTGAAGTGTCTAGAAAAATGTTCTGAGAGATAAAAAACACAGCAAAAATATACAGCTGCATTTTAAAGCAGTGGTTTAAAGACACTTTCTTCTAACGATGCCTTATTTGGGGAACATGTTAGCCACCCATACAGGCTGTGTGTGCAAAATTCAAGAGAAAAAGTAATTTGAGGAGGAGGGATTTCAGAAGAACGATGAGCAGACTGGGCTAATGAGAAGCAAATCTTAACCTGACCGACCATCACCGAGAACAGATCTCCAAGTCCTGGCAAAGGAACATTGATCCCTGCCAACTATTACAGAAATAGTCACGTGAAACCACATACAGTTGGAAAGAGAAAACAAAAGTCAATGTAATTCATCCAAACTGAATCAGATCCCTTTTCCTAAATACGCCAAGATCGTTCCTCACATTATATTTAGAAAGTATTTACTGGAAGTGCAAGGCTGTCCAGGAGGAAAGCTTGCTCCATCAATAGATATTTTTTTAAATATCCAGATAAATACAAATTTTGCAAAATCACTCTTCATTGGAAATACTTTTACAAACTCAGCAGGACAGATGCTTGCTGTCTCCTCCATGCAAAGACATTAAAGCCAGAGAGGGAGCTGGGTGGTCGTGCTGGCAAAGACTGCCCAGAGCAGCGGACAGGGAAGATTTTACTGCAAAGGGGAATTCATTTCTCCTTCGCGGTGTTTATCTGAAAATAATCGCTGGGCTTGCTTCCATTTTTCCATCTTTTGTCCATTTGCGAGGCGGTGCCAATGCTGGCTTCGCAGGCGGTTTTTGGAGCACACATTACTGAGTCAGAGTGTCAGCACAGGGGCTGAAAGTTTTCCAAACTTCAGGATCCGACATTAATCTCTTTTCTACAAACTGTGTTATACGCTCTCCATGTCCAATACATTGCAGGATTTGGGAAGAGGTTTAAAAAACCAATAATAATAATCATACGCCGAACATCGCACTGAACCTGTGCAAGCTGAGTAAACGTGGCCAGCTCTGATTTTCATGCGCAATTATACCCCATTATAACCTCTGCACCGGCCTGGCCTACAGCCAGGTTCCTGCATGCTCTGCCATCAGCTTGACCTACATTCTAAAGCAATATCCTTGCCTTCTGTAGCCCGGCTGATATACGTGCACCAGGAGCACCTACAGCAATGCCAGCTAGCTGCTTGCCCCCAGACAACACTACTTTTCAAGGTATTATAGCAATTCCTGTGTCCCTCCAAATCATGCATGAATTTTGAAGCCTGAAAAGCCAGAAGCTGCTTTAAAAGCAGCGAATGCCAAATGCTTGTCTTTTAAAGAAAAAACAAGGATCTGAAATGCAACGCAATCCCAAATTCAGCCTTCCTAATGACTTCAACTCAAAAATAACAGAGACTGCAGATACTGGCAGTGAGAAATAAGAGAGGCTGGGTCTTGCCGGCCTGGCACACATGCTCCGTTCCCAATCTCCAACCCAGCGAACGGGCCAAGAGCTGTGCGCAGTTATAAATAACTGCAAAATGATCGCTGAATATCACAAAATTAGAATGATAGCTTTATACTGAATTTCAACTGATGTGAATGAGTGCACGAGGTGAAGGGCACAAGGGAGAATCCGAACCACAGGATGAACATGGTGGAGGGGTCTTCAGGGAATCAATTCATACTGGGTTTAATAAACACTTGCTTAAGAAAGCCGTGCAGCCTTATCTATCACAGAATCCCAGACTGGCCGGGGTTGGCAGGGCCCTCCGGGGATCACCCAGTCCCACCCCCCTGCTCAAGCAGGCTCACCCAGAGCAGGCTGCACAGGACATCATCCAGGCAGGGTTTGAATATCTCCAGAGAAGGAGACTCCACAGCCCCCCTGGGCAGCCTGGGCCAGGGCTCGGTCACCCTCAAAGTAAAGCAGCTCTTCCTCACGTTCGACTGGAACCTCTTCTGCTTCAGTTTGTGCCCATTGCCCCTTGTCCTGGCACTGGGCACCACTGAGAAGAGTCTGGCTCCGTCCTTGTGACTTCCACCCTTAAGATATTTGTACGTGTTGATGAGCATTTTTATTTTGGAACCAAAAAACCCAACATGAGGCACAAACTGAGAAATTATTTTGATACCTTGGCATGGGTTTCTGGAAAGATGTTCCCCCTGAGTTGCTAGCTCGGTTTAAATAAATAATTTTAACAGTGTCTCAACTTCCTTCACCTTTTATTTGCTCTGTCCTGGGACTGACACCACTGCTGCTCTCCCCTGCCCCGAGGCCAGTCGAACACTAATGGTGTTATTTCAGGGCTCGCCTTTTCTCCGCAATGCTTACATAAATGTGCTCTTTAGCAATTTTTGGACTGGAACAAATGTTTGAATCTTTCTGGGATGGAACGGAGATAAACACAGGAAAGCTCATCAGTGTTAAATCCCAGTTCAAGCCCTGATTTATATTTAAACCAGCACAGTCAGACCTGTGTAACTAACTAAAGACCACTTACTTCCAGTTTACATCCAGTTACCTACAAAGGGATTAAGTTAAAGAGTGAGTGAAGAGGGAGAAGACTCACGCGTCCTGGAAACACAAGTTTTCATACGTAGGGCTGCAATACTGTGATGTATTTTATTTTGGATTTTCTGCATTGCAGCCATCAGTTGTTTAAGTCCCAGCGTCATCATGCACCTCAGCGGGCACAGAGCATGTCCCTGGCCATGAGTGGGACTTGGGCACATCAGCAGCTGGGGGACACAGACATGGACTGGGGAGAGTGGCTGTGCCAGAGCAGAGCGGCAATGCACAGCAGCGAGCCCGCGAGATGTGTTCGGCCGGCGCAATCACAGTCAATTTGACGTATGTTAAACCTACCCACAACTTTTTCAGGTGACAGAGAGGTCTAAGTTTTGCACCAAGATCTGGACAAAACTATAATCCCACTTCAAGTGGGAGATGGAACCAGACAAGCTCCAAAAGGTCCCTTTCCAACCATTTCTAGACACTGCAGCAGCCTAGAGGTGTACCTGCAGAACAGTTTTCACCGAGGGAAAACCCTGGAGTCTACGCTATGGCTGTTAAAGAGCAACATTTTCAGTAAATTTTAGAATCTGATACAAATTAGGGATACTTCCCTTTACTCTCAAGCTGCAACTGTGCTGCTATTTGGATCTGTGACACCTGAAGTATCAGAGGCAGCTTTTTCCCCCTCTTTTCTAGAGCTGTGCTTCTCTGGGGCTCAGCGTTCCTCTAGCAAATACTCTGAAAACAGAAGATCTCGGCAGGCTCAAAGTGTACAGGTAACGCTCACGAGTGGAAGACGGAACACCTTGCCTTTCATGTATGCACGGCTCCGGGCAGAAAGCTCAAACGCTGCAATGCGGTGAACAACCAGGAAGCAAATGGCAGTGTCAACTCTATTAGCGTGATGGCAGCATACACATTATTAACTATGGTTTTTAAATGGCTTTTAGGTGGCTTTAAAATTTCAGTGTGGGAAGAGACTTGGCACACTCCATCCTCCCTCCTGGGACACCTTTTCTTTCAACAGTTTAAAAAAATCTCCATTCAAATGTATATTCTTAGATATGACAAGGAAATGTAATCACTTTAAGAAACTTTTTCCATCCATGCTGTTTTTACTAAAGTCAGTAAAATTTGTTAGGAGATACTTTGCACGCTAGCATTTTTTTTTTCTAATTAAAATCGCCCGTGTCCTGTAGGCCGGGATACACAAGCAGCTCTGGAGGAGCCATATGATGCCCTGGTTACGTGCCATCGCTATGGGTATTTGTCCAAATGGTATAAAGCCACTCTGGCTAAGAGCATTTTACTGACAACACACTTGTTTCTGAAGGATGGCACGTGGGCGAGAAGAGGTTCACACTTCTAGGTGCTCTGAAACAACGTTTAGGACATACAAGCTTGAATACAAGGATTTTTAACCAGTTTCATGTTGGCAAATTTCAATTAATTCCCTTAGCAACTCATTGTTAAAATGTTCCACTGGAGGAAAAAGAAGTCCCTCCCCTCCTATTTCTGCTGACTGCTTGTCTCCATGCCAAAAATATTCAATCTAAAACAAGAAAGGAGAGAAAAAAAAAAAAAGACTAAAAATAACCAGGGAGGAAATATCCATCAACAAACCTTGCTTCGGGTTGCTAGTCGCAGCGACAGGGGTGCTGGCAGCGAGATGGGTGCTCTCCACAGTCCCATAAACCACAGGGCTGTGCTCGGGGACCTGGCTGGACAGCTGCTGGGATTTGAAGTACAAAAAAGGGTGATAATGAGCGTGCGAACATAAAAACTAGCAACAAGGAGCACAAGCAAGCAAGTGGGGAGAGGAGAATAGGGTGGGATAGAGAAGAAAAACCAAAGGCAGGGAAAATAAAGAAAAAAGGTACACAGACCGATTGAAGAAATTCAAAAGGTACATGGGGAAGGGAGGGAGAAGGCAGCAGGAGAAGGGGAGAGAGAGACAATTACTGTTAACAACAGCAAGAAAGAGACAGCAGAGCACAGTTAGTAATACACTCCGTTCGCTGAATGCTTCTTCCAAGAGCAGCAGAAACGCTCCCCTGCGTCATCTGCAAAAAGTCGGATATACACCAAGACCTCTCCGTAACTTCAAGTTTGCTCTCTGGACTCGACTCCTTTCTCAACCGATCAGTTATTTCAAACACCTCAGGTGTTTTAATAGATATTATTTCTCTACATATTTATAGATAGGTAAGGTGCGTATAAATAGTGTACGTACATATCCCTATGCACACCCATAGTAACTTGCTATCCCAGTAGGAAAATAATCTGGTTATAAATAACTGGTTCTAAAACATCCAGTGCCTTCTGCAGACAGACTGGTTGATGGTACCTGCTAGGTAATGAGAATGAAACCCACTGTGCATCAATCTAAAGAGAGGGGCTCCCAATCAACGCGGAGCGAGCCCGAAATTTTTCTATATATAAAAACCAAACTGCAAGACCAGCAAAGTCACAAGACTGAAAAGCCATGGCCTGTTGCAGAGACCACATATTTTAACTCTTCCCACCATTAGTGGCACAAACGATGACTTTGCTTGTGTTCATGAAGGTTTGATTCACCTTGGAATCTAATGAAGACCTTATTTAAGACTCTAAGTAACTATATCAAACTCAATTTTACAGGTAAAGCACTTGTGTACATTAGGGTGAACATGGATGGGGCAAGTTAACAATTTACGTTTGCAAAATCCCCTTAAACGCGCATCAGGGACCACGCAAAGGAGAAAATGGGGGTAAATTAAAGTTTAATACTCTCAAGTGGAAAGCCATGCAGCTTTCTGCAGGTGGCTTTTCTTACCCAGCCATACACCCAGCTGACTTCTCAGATGATCTACAGGAAAAGGGATTTTTAAACAACCAAAATAAAGCAGGGGACTCAAGACACGGGTGTCTAGTTCCTTCTTTCGGACAGGCTATCGGAAATCCATGCAAAACTTATTTCTCTAAAAAAAGAAACTTTCTGGCAATCCGCTCCTCTTCCTGGGATTCTTTTTTTGGGTCCCTTTTCCAGCTTTTTCAGCTATTCCATCTGAACAGTGCAGAATAAAGAGTGAATTATCTTCAATATACCATTTTTCACCACTTCATGCAACTGAAAGGTAAAGGAGGACCGTGAAAAAGCACATCTGGACAAATGAAAATCTAAGTAAGCGGGGTGAAGGGTTGAAATTTTATTTGGGATTGTTCCTCTTCCAGGAACGAGCCTGATGAGATTGTCTGGACTACAGATGAAGAATTGCATCCCTATCTCCAGCCAAATCTGAAGGAAGCCAAAGAAAACAGTTTTACAAACGAACAGGTTTCAAGAACACTTTTCCCTCACCCTCAGTGGATCATTAAGTTTCATTTTATGAAAAATGTGGGGGAAAAAGGAGAATGTGGTAAGAATTGCATGAACCCAACGAGACTAGTGGACAAAAAACCTGTAAGGCTCGAAAATCCTCAGGCCCACGAACATGTTTTCTTAAGAAATTTGGGAAATGCTCATTTATTTTGTGGGAACGATATTGCAAAGCAACATAAATGGTACTGAAGTACTGATCTTTATAGGCTCTCAGCTTCAAAATGGAGCATTTAGGGTCTTTCTAGGAAAAAAAACCCCACACAATTGCTCTCGTGATTTATGATGCTCAAAGAGTTGCTCTGTTACTCTGTCCTGGCATGGCTCATAGACCGAGCAAACACAAAACGTGACAAACTCATCGATACTCAGAGGAGGTTTGCCAGGAAACTCAGAGCATTTCTTACTCTTTAAAATGTGATCTTCTACCTAAGTCAGTGCCGAGCAAACGCTCTAGCCAGATTCAATATGTGGTTCTGGGGTTTATTTATCTTCCCAGCAAAAAACGGAGTGTGGAAAATAGCATCCTGCTAGAAACCTATAAATAATATCTCCACTTACTGCCAGCTTCTTTTACGCAGGAACTTTAAAGCATTTTAGCAATTAAGCAACCACTGTGGAGGTGCTGGGAAGACACCACCTAAAGCACTTTTTGGTCAGCGATGCTGACTACAAAGCAGGAGATACAAAAAGCATGGAAATGGGTAAAACCAGGCGGCTTGAGTCTTGGCAGCAATGCTCATCTTTTAGACAAGTCCAGTATTTTCTTGATGTTAAGCACTTAATCTACTGAGTAAGGAGGGTGCTTCGGGCTTGTGTTATCGAAGTTTTCTATTTTCTTTGGGTCAGTTAAAAAAAATCCAAATGCACAGGAAAAAAATGAAAGTTTTGAAAGAGGCAACACAACGGGCCTTATTATTATTATTATTATTATTATTATTATTATTAAATTATTTTAAAATGTAAAATTTGTGAAAGGGACTGGTCTACAGCAGTGGTTTTATGCACTTCTGGAGCAAGTTTCTCCCTCTGTGGTTGTGTTGTCTAAATAATGAGATTAGAGAATCAGATACTGGCAGTCAGCACAAAAAAAGCACTGCTAGAATTTAGCAGACTTTCAAAATATCATTGGATTGGGAGTCACTTTGATCAGATGCTGCTTTGTCAAGCCTGGAGACTGCATGCTGGCATTTTGAGCGTTCAACCGGATGAAATCTCATCAACCCCGACCCATGTGCAGGGCTGGATTCAAAGGGGCAGTGGAACAAGATGACAGCGACGATGCTCCCATTGCACCTCGTCCGGGAGCTGCCCTCAGCTGCCAGCATCCCAGCAGGCAGGGATGTTCATATGAAGCTCACACTGACTCTTCACAGCTTTTATCAGCTGGGGAAAGGCAATGCAAAAAAACCCTAGCACATTTCAAGCAAAGTTATGGCTGAATATTTCAAGTTATTAGACTGTTCAGAATTATAACATCCATCCATACTGGAATTCAGCCACTGAGCACAGTTAGCAAGGCATCATCTAATTTCATCCAAGATACTACACTTGCTCCAAAGAAATGAATTAGGGATGCTATTGGGACAATAACTTTGAATTTCCTGGCTTAAGTGGGCTTCAATTTTCAGTTATGTTACACTAATGAACTTTTTCTGGTGAGCTCTGTTTCAGAGCTCTTCTGTGATTAACAAAAGTGGTTCCAAGTACCTAATCAAAGCGAAGCCTGGATATTAAACAATGAAGTATTTGCATACCTTACTTAGAGTAGATGATTGGACATCTTTGCATATAAATTACAGCTGATAAAAATTCATGCTTATTAACCTCCTCTTGAAAAACATTTATTTTGTCCTGTTTGACTTAATTGTAGTGTCTTAAAATAGATTTCTGAATGCAAAAATGAGCCGGTAAGTGCCTGGCTTCATTGCACCATGCATAAACATGATCTGAAACCCTGGCTATTTCCAACTCTTCCCCACTTCTAATGCGAAGAAGATCTCACTGATGCTCCAACATTTTACATCGCTAGGATCTTCTCTCGTGGAAAACACTTGGAAAGAAGTTTAATTGACTCTGTACATAGTCAGCTCTCGGCTCTTCTCCCCTTCCAGCTGTAGTCGTTAACCATCAGATCACTCTCTGGCAGAAAAAACAGCCTTTTCCAGCCGAGCACTGCAGACCTTGTTGCAAAAACACGGCTAGCCAGGAATTGCTTGAGGATGGTGCCTTGCTGCTGCCTGTCCACGATGGAGAACAGGAGAAGAAAGCAGGTGACCAAAGCAAACGGTCAAGAGGATTCGACTGAAGCAGGGGAACAGCCAAAAGCTGTAGCTATCCTCCTGGTCTCAATGCAAGGGAGAGCTGCAGGCCAGGCTCTTATTTCATCTCAGTGATCCCAGTTACACTTCTGCTGGCTCACCTGTAACCTTGGGCTCCTGCTCCAGCATGACGGGTGCCTCAAGGCAAGCTTGTGCTTTTGCCTCAGCACAGGACAGTCAGCAGAAAAACTCCATATGCAGAGAGGAAAGTAAGGTTTCAGCTCAGGAAAGGGTGTTTCACCTAAAAGCTAGCAAAACCTCATCTCTGACATAAAACAGGGAAGAACTTAGAAGAAATTGCACCCCAGCCTCAGCCAGGCTCTGATCTGAAGCCCACCCATCACTTGGAGAACCTTCCTGATATTTACTGTCTTCTTATCAGGGCCCTGACAAGTGGACAACGACCTCCAATAAAACACGGCCAACTTCCAAGGCTTGTGCCAAACCATGGAGTTTCTTCTTCTCCCAATTATTCAAAAACTTTTAAGTTTAGCAGCCTGTGGCTTAGCACCATCTCTCCCAAAAGAGAGGGAAAGCTAAGATGATGGATGAAGCAAACAGCAGCTGGAAAGAGGGCAGGAGCTGCCACGTGCCTCCTCTCCATCACCAATGCTATGGGGAGATGACGGAGGCATCACATCTTCCTGCCGCAGGTGGGGAAGAGTTGGTCAGGAGAGAAATCATCTTCTAATTAGACCTCGCAGCCACTTCCAGCCCCATCGATACACATCATGGTGGACTTAACATTGGCGTCAGGACTGCTGGTCTGCAAGTCTGTGAGCATTCTTTTGGCCCTGGGTCAAAAAGGACTAGAACAGACCTGGATTTCCAATCACTTTAATTTCCAGACATGTGGACTTCTCAGGTGAAGCAGGATACAGAGGCTTAGACAGGGTCAGAAACTCAAAGGTGTGAGACAAGGCTTTTTGAAGATATTTATGAGCTATGGAAAATGTCAGTTTGGGATATTTACGCTTTTTCCTACGTCAGAAAAATGCGTTTTTAAGGTTGAACAGGCAGAGACCAAATCTGGAAGCTCTGTGATACAATTCCTCAGCTACAGTCATTCTTGTTACTCTAAAACAACACTACTAAAGCAGAAAAACATTAGCATGGACAGTGATGCAACTGAAGATAGATAATCAATCACGTGCATGACACTGACTTTTCTCAGATGCACAAGACATTAATGGAAACATCACATTTCTCACAAATATATTGGCTCCTCCTTTAACACTAGAAGTCTACGAGCTCTAAAAAACTACTGCTGATACAAAAACAGGGATGGGGAACTTGTAGCAGCGCTGCAGCTCCACATTTTACAAGCTACAGGCTGGTAAAAATGACTAAACTTGGAAAAAAAACATAATTCTGGAAGAACATGGACAACTTAGGACCATCCAGGTGTCTAAGGCGATCGGTGGTGTGGACGGAAGAACATGGGAATTGGGTCTAACAAACAGCAAAGCAAAGCAGACATCACTGGGAGAAGGCTACGTGGCCACTTTATTACCTGAGGTGGAGTAGGTGTGGAAGTGGGTCTCACGATGGGAGGCGTTGGGTTCCTGCTCCCCCCTCCAGACATTATTTCTTCTGTTATATCTTTGCCCCCCTGGTTTGGATCCCGGATTCGGATCTACGGCATTGAACAAAGGAATAATTCAAACAAGTCTTCCCGTTACACGCTGTCCTTGGGGTTAATGGAGAGGAGGGCATGGACAGGACATAATTCCATTACACTCGGCAGGAGATGCTCTGGGTTGAGCTGATGCTCTGCTAGAATGCGATTGGTTTTGATAACCTGAAATGCATGATATGTCATCCCTTAATCTTGAAACTTAATTTAATCAAAACACTCATCAACCACACCAGTTAGGCCTAAGTATGTGCAACCCCAGTGCACAACTCTGTGATTCAGAATATGGTCTCTACTTCTGGAAAGTAAGTTTACTGCCACTTAGAAAATTTAGCAGACACTTTAGCTGCAGAACTACGCTTGCCATGTAGTGGAAAGTGCAAGATTAAAAAACAAAAAAAGGCCATGTTTTACCCTGATATGAAACTCAGTGACCTAGCCAACCCAGGTGCTGGTAAAGGGGGAAAGCAAATCAGCTCCTCTTGTTTTCCCTTCCACTCTGAGAAAAGTCATACCAACAAAACGGAGGGGATCAACCAAAAAATACTGACCAGAGGAAAGGGAAAGCACAAGAAGAACTAACTGAAGTCTTATGAGACTCATCAGCATTGAGGAAATAAGTATGGGTTTTGAGTCTCTTCAACAGCCCCAAAACGGGAAGTAAAATACTTTCCAAAATAAACCATTCACGAACAATCATTTGAATCCCCAACACTTGAGCCAATCTTTCTCACTGAATGTGGGGAACAGTCAAGCTGTCTGGGTGAATTTGGAACAGAGCATTTGATCTTCAACATAACCGAAATTTTCCATAAACCTGAAGACAGCGCTACTGTTTGTCTGTCCACCTTCCCCCAAAACTCTTGGTTGAACTCACTCCATAAATCGCACACAGAAGCTCCCATTGTGCTGGGCACAATGTACCACCGCAAACCCAGAGACATAACCCTTCCGAGGGCAGGGCTGTCACTGGAAACCGCCCTGCTTTTTTTGATCAGCAACATATGGAGTCATTAGCTGCAGAACGGTTTTGTGATTTATCTACTTCAGTATCATGTGATGCCTTCTTGACTCTTTCAGTTATGAAGACAAATGAATATCACGTGGTATTTAGGGTGGGGACAAGACAGAATCACAGAATCATTTGGTTTGGAAAAGACCTTTAAGATCAAGCCCAGCCATTCCCCTAACCCTGCCATCCCACCACTAAACCCTGTCCCTAAGCACCTCGTCTGCCCAGCTTTTAAATACCCCCAGGGGTGGGGACTCAACCCCTGCCCTGGGCAGCCCCTTTCAGTGCCTGACAGCCCTTTTGGGGAAGGAATTTTTCCCAGTATCCAACCTAAACCTGCCCTGGCACAACTTGAGGCC